GTATATATGTATATATACATACTGTATATATATATGTATGTTTATATATATGTGTGTATATGTATATATGAGGGGCTATTGTTCATGTCATTAATAAATTATAATTATATTACATATTAGGCTTATATTTTACCCAATGATTTTAATTCCATTATATTTATCAGTATCACTATCATGGGTAGCTTACCCTACTCGATATCACAGTACATTGTTTTCCACACTTTTTAGACTCATTACCTTGCTCCCAACACATATCATTATCCCTGTGTCTCCATTATTATATATCTCAACACATTTTTAATATTTAATGCCAACTGTTTATTTTATTATTTGATCTGGTATGTGCCTACTTGTAATCAGTCACTGATGAAGCCTTGAGGACAAGACTAAATATTTGTTTCCTGAAAAAAATAACTGTCAAACTCAGCATTTTTTTTTTGCATCATTATTTTTGTTTTATAAAACTATCTTTATCACTTTAATGTTGATAAAGATAGCAGGAGCTATCAAAATATCCGTTTGATTTTGTTATAGTTTAATAAATTTGTGTTCCGCAAGTCAACTTTCAATGATTGTACACCGTTTTTTCATTGTTTTTACATTTTATTTCACTTGGAACATACATGCAAACCCACTCTTCAATATATATATCAGGGTTTCGAAATAACGCTGGTCCGCTGGCCAATGGCTAGTAAAATGCATGGCGGACCTGTTAATTATCCCAATAAAAAGTCTGCATGACCAGTTAAAATTTTAATGAAAGTCTGACGAAATGCCTAAAGTTTAACTCATTCACCTCTTAACGATATCTTTACAAAATATTTCACACAGATAATGTCAACAAGATCGCTATTTTCTGTTTATTGTCATGTTAATGTCAGCTACGAACAGCCTTGGGCTCAGTAATTCAAGGCGAACAGATGAACATCACGCAGTAGCTAGGCCATGGAGGAATCCATGGCTAGACGTACAGAGGGAAATCACCTTCTCTGCATGTTACAGCGACAAGGAGAAGTTGATTTCCGTCTGTGAGCACCGTGAAGTTAAAACATCCATGTCATGTATCCATCCCACAATGCAACGTGGGACAAAAAGTTAATAAACAATGCAACGATTTCCGGACGAAATATGTGGATGAACCGTTCGTACAGAGCATAGTCCCAATTGCGTTGTCACGGAGATTATCTATTAATAAAAATGACGTCATGACAGCCAAGGACATGGGATTTTTGCCCAGCCACATGACCCCACGAAAAATAATTAACCAATTAGCGGGCAGAGTTTAGGAGGCGCGACCTGATATTTACAAGTAGTCGCATCGTGACTGCGAAGAATGTTTTGTGTTTACAGTTTAGAAAAAAATGTCAGACCGAAAATGCACGTAAAAACAATATAAAAGCATTCATTTTATTGGTACAGTAATTCAATTTGAAGTTGGCAAGATAGTGGCTAGTGAAAGGGATTGAGGACCAATAAAAATATTAATTTACTGGTCCACTTGGCTAGTTAAA